ATTTTTACCTGAAAAAAACACGGGCCGAGTTTACAATAGACCTTTTGAAACATTTTTTCCTCAGGCCGAGTTTACATAGCCCTTAGAAACCATACCATAAGTGATGTAACTTTGATTACTACCATACGATTTATCTGTCGGCGAAATGGATTTTGATGAAATGAGATTCGAAGACATTGGTTTTTTACTCATTCCGTATAGAACCGATATATTTGTTGGCGAAACGAAATCCGGTGAACTGGGATGACATTGTAAACTTTAGCGTAAAGGCTATTGAATATCAATAGTCATGAATTCATGCGTTATTGTTGTGAACAGTGTTCGTTTTTTGAACTTAAATAAAACACAATTTAAATTTTATAATTATTTAATCTGTTATAACCTACCAGGCTAAAAACTCGTAAACTCTATCTACAATACAGCTCCTCCCCTGCAGACAAAAATATGAAAAATCGGGTCACTTGGTGACACTTAAGAAAGTATTTGGAATAACTCTGTGAAAAAAAAATTGGAAAAAAGTTCAGTAATATTATTAGAAAATTAAACATATAAAAGACCTATTATTTTTTATATATAAGTTTATATAGTTATGTCCGTGATATACTGTGATTCCGTATCCTTAACCTAACCTTACGAAAAGTTATTAATTTTTTCCGGTGGTTGCGATTATAGTTTTAATGTATTGATAAGTACATGTTTATTTGAGTACTATATCCATTGACGTGATTTCCCGGGCGATATTTACATATAAGTTAATTGAAAATTTGGTTGATAACTTATGAATAATGTTAGTTCATCGATTTACGTCTTCGCCGGTAACATTTTTGTATCAAAATAAAAATTTTGTCCAAAGATAATACAAATAGTGACACAACTGTATATACATTCTACAAAAATCTTTACTAAGTAAACATCGATTATTTTCTTATTGATGTCAACAAGTTACTATTATAAAATAAATTATTACAATATTATATTCGAAAATTTGGATAAGAATAATTGGATAAAAATTAGTTATATTAAAACCAGAGAAATCTTGAGCAAATCTATAAGGATTAATTTTAAACTATACACTAATTTTTAATTTTTTTTTCGACCCGATTTATCTTTCCACCTCTAACATACAATAATTGAGATTAAAAAAAAAAAAATGTTAGACATATAAGAGCTTTAGGCATATGAAATATTTTAGTATAGAAAAAACAACTACAGAGTACACCTGGTAATACGTGAACTTATATAATTTTCTGGTTCGTCAAATAATTTCACAACCTACTGAAATTAGATCTTTCACGCTTTGACGAAAACCCTATGTAATATGTACTCTGTAGTTTAGTCTATACGAGTATATAGTTTATGTAGTCGTATATAAACAGGTTCATATACTATTTTGCAAATTTGTATTCGAGTATTCATAATAACATTTTTAAATTATGAGCCTGGCGTCAATAACTTTGTAATAATATACACTGGCAAATTTCGAATGTGCTCACCGCATGCTTAAATATCCATAATACAATGATACATTTTAACTCTTCTTGAGATTAAACTCCGGAGATATAATTATATGTACGGTATGTTATATGTATGTTTGTGTGTGTGTGTGTGTGTGTATGGGGAGGGGGTTACATATAGTTTTCGTTCATAATTTAAGACCTACTTTTCCATTACCGCATCCATCCCAACACCGCACTGCGATTACTGTAATAATATTATCGTTCCGTTTAAATGGTATAGCGGCAAAACGGGAGAAGAACGAAGGACCGAGTGTTGTTGTATTATTGTTGCTGGGGAGGAGAGTGAGATGAGAGACTGATCGAAATGGGTTGCTCGTAGTTTATCGTCGCTCCAAACCCAAAGCACATGTGCGGCTTGTGCGGTGTTCATGATTTAAACGTCTTTGTGCAGCTAATCTAAATAGTCTCCGTGCAGCTATTCGCTTAAAAAGCTCGAAACTTACTACGATGACTATAACGATGAGAGAATTAGACGAAATTAAAAAAAAATCGATTTAATATGAATAAAAGTTATAAAACACAATATTACGATTTTAATGATTTTTTTTTTTTATATCCTTTTATGTAGAATTTTTTCAAAAATAATCTTGAATCTTGCACACCTTTACATTATAAAATATAATGTTATTATTAAACAATTTCTTTGGAAGCTATATATAATTATAACTAGTAACAGTACAGCCGGGATTAATAATTACGTATTTGTTAGGTATATATTTTAATAACATGGTGCGTGTAAAAGTAATTTTAGGCATCTTATTATAATATACTTTGATTAAAAAAATACAGTCTGTGTATGTTTTTTAAGCGTTTATTAAGTATAAATAAATTTACTTTTTCAGACTTGTATTGGGACTCAACAAATGGTTAATACTTAATAATTTGATGACTTTTAAAATTTATTTTTCAAGTACATAATTAAAATTAACAATTTAAGTTAATAATAACGAATTAGTTTTCAATTCAAAAAGTTTCTGTATGAAATTATTTCATGTATGTTTCTTGTATGGAGAAGGCCATGTATGGAGGTCAAATGGTATTCTAAAGAAAGTTCTGGAAGGAAAAATCAATGGAAAAAGACCTAGGGGTCGCCCAAGACAGCGCTGGATAGACAGGGTTAATGAAGATATAAACAAGTGCGCCCAGGGATTAACTTTAGAAGACAGTATTGACAGAGATAGGTGGAAAAAAGTAGTAGAGGCAGCGAAAGTCCTTCAAGGACAGTAAAAGCTGAGGAAGAATAAGAAGAAGAAAAATGTTTCTTGTATTAATATATCAATAACAATTTAAAATTACTTGTAAATGTTTTACTTTTTTTTTTTTCTTTTTTTTTTTTAATAAACATTACAATTCCTTAAAAATAATATCAATATTAATAGTCAGGACTGTATAGAAATATTTTGTATATTACTTAAACTATTATGAAAATCATTTTATATAGGTATTTACGCGTATACGTATTCGGGCGCCGCGGCGAGTGCTCATTAGCGAATTGTTCGATCTTATTATTATTGTTATTATTTGTTGTATCAAAGATACACAGCATGCAATGGCACGGGCGACATGGGCGTCCCCAAATATTTTTCTAGAGGGGGGGGGGGGGGGGCAAAATTAATTTCAAAAATAAATGAAAATTTTTTTATACATTTTATTTATAGTATATTATTATATTTCGTCATTATTACAATTAAAACATTACAATTAGATATTATTATAATACATTAGTCTTTTTCATTAAATATAAATTTCAATCTCCGTGGACTACCAAATTTTCTACCAAATTGTGTCAGAGCATTTTCAATAAATTTTTCTTTATCTGAATTTACTTTTTCTCCATGAACACTCAACATGCATATTCTACTCAGTCTATCATCACCCATCGTTGATCGTAACCATGATTTAACATGCCTTAAAGTACTAAAAGAACGTTCTGCTGTACAGCTTGTAGCCGGAAGAGACAAAAATATTTTCAAAGCAACAGCTATACTTGGAAAAAACGTACAATTACAATTTAACAAATCGATGAAATCAATATCTTGGCAGTCTTTATTTTGCCAAAAACTGTACCAAATTTCTGCTTCAGTTTGTAGATTATCAATTTTATAGAAATCAAAAATTTTTTCAATGCTCTCAAAATACATTTTTTTCTCCAATTTTTTAAAAATGTTGGGATGAAGATATTGTAGTAAAAATGCATTATCAATTCTTTTTTTAAAACGTTCTTTTATAGACTGTAATATTGATTCAATATATGGTATAAAAATTGATTTGAATCATTCTATAAATGATTTTTAGAAGCTAATTTCTCATTGGGAATTTTACCAATTGCTGTGGAAATAACATTCCAGGGGGGGCAAGTGTCTCGTCTTGCCCCCCCCCCCCTGGGGACGCCCATGACGGGCGACGACGACCATCTTACGAGATGATCTATCTCGTATCTGTTTCCCGATTTTTTCCTCTTTAATTAAGTGAATTGTTATAATTATTGTTTATCACTGTGGAATTATGTCGGTGATTCTTATATAATATTTTTGTTCTAATTTTTATATATCGATCACAATATCGCACTGGAATTTTTGTCGTTCGTCGGTTGCAATAACACGTTTTTCGTTGTTTTTTCTTAACGCAAATAGCCGACCTAATACGAGTGTTGTTCCTTTTCGTATGCTAATTGTAAATGTTTAAAAACATTTCAATTCCATTTATCTGTACTACTTTGTTTGAGTTTTGAACATATGGCATTAACCGCCTTTAGTTGATTTTTATATGGACAAATCGTCATTTTTTGTGTATATTGCGTGTGTACACAAATTTATTGTGTTCACCATTTATTATATTGTTTTATATTATTCTTTCTTATCGTTTCTGCTATTGAAGCGGACCTTTTCTTATTTTTCTCGTTGTTTGCCATTATTATTATTATTATTGTTATTGTTATAATTATTTTAATATTTTATATTATATATTATTTTGGTTGATATTGCATCAACATAAACATATTTTCATTCGTGCAAACACCTACTTTACTTTGAAAATGTATGTATAATTAATTTAAGTAGAGTTACAACACAATTCGAGAGAAATTATTTTATTTTGTGAAGTACATAGAAACGACTCAACAGTTAACAGATCAAACACATGTATGAAATACCGAAAATACATTATAAATACTTTTTGTATAAATCCGTTATCTTAATTCCATCGAATATAATTTATCGTAAAAAATTAAATATTTATTATAACCGAGGATCGAAAATATAAATGCTTACAAATCTGATACCTACGTAGGTACAATTATTATATATAATTGTGTTATTACATTTTTTTTTTTTTTTTATTTAATATACGTGTGTCGGAACTGTTGATGATCCATTGTTGATAGTATGCGGGAAACGTGTCTCGTTATGATAACACAATCCAGAGGTCAAAATGCAGCCGTTTTTATTAAACTGTTTCTTAACACTGTAATGGTACGCGTTTTGTTAGTATATTAAATCATATTGAACCGATACGCTGTATTCCCCGGTCAGTCGCGTGTGAGTGCAGTACGTGGGACCGTCCGTCGTACTAATACAGTAGGAACCAAACACCTATTACAGTCGTAGCCGATGCATCAATATTTTCCAATCACATTTCACTCACAGATCAACTGCATAGTTCACCCTAAGCAAGGTAATTTCAGTCGGAAATTAACTAGAGAAAATTATTGGTTTTTCTTTTCACCGCACCCAAACACCGTTGTTACCATATTGAACACATATTTTTCCGGTAAAATTTCTCGGACAATCTCGTTGGTCGTGCAGAATAAAAGTTTTCGTTCCTTTTTTTTAAACGTAAGTTTTTTACTATCTCATCCGAAAACTTTTACACTTTATTCAAATAAATTATACATGCAATGGTTTCTTAAGAAAAATACCATACAACTTTATTATATATAAATTAAAAGGGGGAAAAATGTTGATTAAACTGAAACTTTTAGAGTTCATCACACAATTCATGCGTACGATTTTTTTGTGTTTTAATGTCGAGAATTTCTCATTTAGTATACAATTTTTTTCCGACCTTTTTGCTTAATTTACACAAACTTGAAAAAAGTAATTATAAAAAAAGTTGTACTTAAAAATATATAAACGTTCCATCGTTTTGTGTGTGTGTGGTGTGTATGTACATATATATTCGATTAATTGGTGAAAATATTATTTAAAGGGTCAATTGTTATTTTCCTGGTAATTTTTTGTTTAAGTTTGTTCATAAATGTATATATATGTATATTCTCGTATATATTAATATCAATAGTGAGTCTACGTATTTGAAATTGTAATTTTATCAATAATAATTAAATGATACAAAAATACATAAATGATAAAATATATTCATTAGGATTTTGAAGAAAATTACAATAATTAATGGCTGCTTTAGTTTTTTAAATGCCGCAAAAAATCATTACCTTAATTGATTTTCGAACTGATTAAATGTTATCAATCTATTAAACGGAGAATAAAATAGTTTTTTATTCCATTATATAAATATATATATTTATAAGAACGATAACATACATTTATTGTTACTAAATGAGTATAGATAATTATTGAGTATAACATTAAAATTATGTATACACAGAAACTTCCTGTTAGCTTAATTATTTTACATTAATTGAGCGTTAGATAATTCCTATCAGTTAAAAAATATTTTGAATATTGAGAATATTAAAGTTAAATAATATTAAAAATATTGTTTTTTTTTTTTTTGTTCTTTAATAATTAAAATATATATTTTTCAGATTTATTACAATGTATCTTTTATGCAAAATTATAAGCTAAAATGATAGTTTATATTTTTATTTGCTACTAAACATATTTATTTAGTGAGTTGCCTTTTACTAAAGGTTGCCATCTTACACAGCTAACTTCTCAGTACTTGAACTTAAGTTACTATATATTTAAGGTTATAATGAACGGATCAAATGCTTACATAATATGTTTATTTAATGTTTTTCCGTTTAATATCACGTTAAACAATCTACTTCAATAAATAAATAATATAATGATGAATGGTTTATAAATTTTCTATTAATAATGTGAATTATATAATATTAAATTTAAAAACAATAAATTACTATTTATATTTAATATCAGCAGTTAAAAAATACACCAATTTCATACTGATGGTCCAAAACTTAAATAAGTCATTATTTATATGGATTCAATAATGTAGTAACGTAGAGTAGGTAAATGTATTTTCACAATAATCAAACGGATAGCAGTATATTACATTCGTCTATTATGAAATGAGTTATAATCGATATTTTATAAGTTTTTTTAATCGTTTTTCGAGTAAAAATTAATATCATCGTTGTAAAGTTCAAGGTATACAGTTTAATATAATTATATTAAGTGCAATTGCTTTAAGTAAATAAAAAGTCAGATTATAAATGTTTAAATTAACACGTTTTAATATCATTTTTCTATACTATGTACCTACCTATACTTAGTTTATTTTATGTAGGCACGAATCGTATACTTGTACATAACACAAAAATCGTTATATTCATTTATTTTTACCAAATTTCTGAAGTACATAAAAGTCGGACAGGATATAGTAGTGAATAGTTGTATTGGCTTCACCTCACTTATCTTGAAGTAGGTAAGTGTTCTTGGTAAAAAGTTGTCATAAAGCACTATGGAGATTTTTATTTATTTTATACGATTTAATAATAATAGTTAGGACCCAAGTATTATTTAAAAAAAATTAATCTTAAGATTTTATGAAAATTGTAGTACTATGCAGGAACACCTCCTAATTGGTTAGTCTAAAAGATAAGTAAATTAATAATCACAAAATGTTATTTCATGAAAATTAACTATCAAGCTGATATCTTATTGGGACTGGACTGATTGTAGTGTAGAAATATTAAGCAATCAAGTAATATGTAGTATTATAACACCTTATTGAAACCAAAAACTATAACAAAGAACTTATTTGTTTTGTAAATAACATAAATCGATGATTATAATGTTTACAATAAATGAGAGTGTAAAGTATTATAACTAGTTTAAACATGATTCTATGGGCCGTTGAATAATTTTAACACACATTCATTACACTCATAATATTTATTATACATATGTTTTGTTGACAACATACATAATATAATAATGTATTTATTAATCAAATCCATCCACGTTTGATTGAAAAATATATGCATCTATATTTTAGTTGATAAAATTGATTTACCATAAGTTTAAAACAAATTATATTACAAAAACAAATAAAATATAAAAAATAAAAATATATAAAAAACTATTACAAATACTTATTATAAAAAAATATTTATAGATTGCATAAATTAAAAATAAATGTTAAAAAAAATGTTTTTTTACAACAATGAAAATAATTCGAATCAGCACTGTTTAATGAGAATTTATATTTCGCCCAATGCAACCTAAGTTATTGACAAATAACAATATAGAAATATTAATTTGTTTAATTTCCATTGTTATGTTCTAGAGGTTATTGAAGTGAAAGCCTTTGTCACGTGATTGTGTATATGGTAGGTATTTGTGAGAAATAAAGTGTTGTTAACACTACTATTAATTTAATTTGCAGCATTGTACATCTATTTATTTAATGTTTGATGATCAAACGCTTTGAGAATAAATTTAATTAATGTTTGAGGTTGCTCTATAAAATGAGTGTCATAAAATTAGTATGGATATCGAGAAAATGAAGTGTTGCTTAATTTCTGGAATAGTTATGGTTTTACACCTATGAGAAATGTTTATTCACAAAGTTGGCGTAAAATAAAATACATTCCTCGTTTCACTCAGCATCTAAAATGTTACGAGGTATTCTACAAGATAACACTAAATAGTCTTATAAATATTCATTTAGGTTTACTTGAATGTTAATAATTTTTTTTCTGACACTTTTGGAGACGTATAAAATTGTATTTTAGCTCTATAAAAATGATTATTGTTAACAAATTATAGAGGAGTATTATTTGTCGGTATATTATAAAAATTAGGCATTGAAAAGTAATTTAAATTTATACTTTTGTTTTAATAATTAATGTGATTAATCAAAGTTTCTAATGAGTCAAATGATTTTTTTGCGATTAACAATGAATCAGTATTATTTTTGAAAGAGAACGGAGTGTGCTAAATTAAATTTAAAATTGTACATGTAATAACGTACATGTATTCTCCATAAGACGCTTGAATCATCTAACACATTTTTACATTTTTCATATATATTTCGTACTTATGTTACCTACGTACCTACCTTGTATTTGTTGATATTATACGTATTTTTAAAATTATGATTTACGGCAATTCTTATGATGAATAGGTACTAATTAGCAATATGGCTATAGTCATTGGATCCAATAAAGTTATACGTCATCTCATTTTAAAATTATTATTTAATATTTCAAATAATAATATTTTACTTATATTTGAGTTCTGTCTCAGATAAAACAGACTACGTCTTATTTTAATAGATTAAAATATAAATGATTTTGTTTTTAATGAATTATTACATTGTTTTTGTGTAATTTATTTACACATATGACGTGGTTGTACCGAGTTTAAAATTGTTCCGAATAAAGCAATAGTTTCAATGGAGTTTTCTTTAAAATGTTCGAATTATTCATATATTATATTAAATGAAATATTTTAATAAAGTATTATTATTAATAAAAAAATATTAAAAAAAATATAAATTTTCTTTCGTAACTATACAGTAGTAACCCAATAAAGAAATGAGCTAAAAATCATTTAAAAATACGCGGAATTAAATGTTTCAACTTGCTACAGTACCTACAGTATTATTTTTTATAAAATTACATTTTTATTGTATTTAACAAGGTAAAATAAATGTATTTATTTTAGGTATTATTAGACTAATTAATCTATATCGATTAAATTATAATAACTAAAGTAATTATTGATCACATTACCTAAAAGTTTTATAGTTTATCATTATTTATGGTATTGAGTGAAGCAAAAAACAACGAGCTGTAAATTTTGAATTTAAAATATCAGTATATTAAAACTTACTCGTACTTACTGGTCAGTACAAAAGTTGTAATTTAATTTTATTCGAAAAGTCAATATTCTCCTTAGATTAATATATTTAATATAGGTATAATTAATTAGTATTATACATTGATCTTGTAGAGATGTAAGAGCTAACAAACTTGCAACAAAAGGCTTTTATGAAAGATTTTCAGATTTAATAAAACTTATAGTTCTCAATTTAATATGTATTATTCACTTGGATGGCTGCCTCATATTTTCTGAATAATATAACTTTTGAACATTCATTCCGATTTTTCACTTGCTATATTTTTGGATACATATCCTATATACTTATATAGGCATTTATTCATTAATTATAATTTAATTTGGAATTAAAATTGTCCACTACCCACAAGAAATGCATGAATCAGTTATGCGTATAACACTCAATTATTCCAAATTGTTTAGAAATCAAAACTGCTAATCGAAATTCTATATAGATTTTGATAATAAATCATTAAATTAGAAAATTTTTTTTTATTTTATTTGTTACTGATTTCAATCAAGCTTATATAATAATACTAAATATTATGAATCAATCGTAAGCATTTAAGAATATACATTGCACATTTAACTATGTTTATTTTAAACGCTCCGTATGCACACAAACAATGAAACAGAACCCAGAAGTTTTGTGTCCTCGTAGCAGGCCTATTATGATAATTGACGATTTTTGATAAGTATTTCTTTGTCCATATGCCCAGGTTATTTCAAAGGAATTTCGAACCCTTTTATCACACAAACAGCTGGCACTACCGAATATTTTACCAATCAAGTGGGGAAAAAACGTATTATAATGTATTATAGAATCTAAACTTATACATTAGTACACGTCCGTCCATTACAACATACCTTGACGACCGACCTTCGGGTTGCAGTTATCAACACTTTTTAAAACGATAATAATATTTGTAAACCTAGTTGGTTAAAATAATAAATGAATGCATATGAAGTTTTGTTTTCTTTAACCATTGTATATGTTTGAATGATTAGTGACAAATGTTCTATATTTTTCACATTTTATAGCTGCGAGTCTATGGAGTCGAATAATGATGCAAACAGAGTATGCGAGCCAAAAGGGTTGTTCATCAAAGACAGGAAACAAGAACCAATCGAGCTAAGATTTAGCAACTTGTATTATACAGTCTCACTTGGATTTCGAAAAGGTGAGTTAGTTCTGAATTGTTATTTATTTTAATAAGGCTCAAGTTTTTCGTGTTTAAAGATTTGTACTTAATAAAGAAATTTCAATAAATTAAAAGTTGAAAATTAGGTAGTTACTCATAAATTTAAGATAATTATTATTTATGTATTATAATATTTTACATTTTAAAATTATGTTAAAACTACAAGTATATATTTATATATATATTCATGGTTAATTAAAAATTTTTAACGGTTATTAATTATTTATTTTAGTTCAAAATTGGCTTACAATCTTTATGGCAGTTATAAATTACAAATATTTAAAAGCAGATAATGAAGATACTTTGAGTATTTTAAGCGAAAATTGAATCTGTTACGTTTTTGAAGATTTTTATAAATAAATTAAAGTATAATTCTTGAAATATATTATGGTTTAGAATTTAAATATTTTTTATGATTCGATTTAAGCTTTTTAATATGTATTTATAACTTTACTTTTTCTTACGTTTATCAAGAACAAAAAAAATTCATTATTTTATTATCAATACCTATAATTTATTTACATTTTATGAAAATAATTATTATGTAACTTAAGGTTACTATAAGAAATTGAAATAAAAATTGATTTTATAATTATATACTGAAATATAAAAGTAAAATTATGTAAGCTCTTTTAATCATTATTAATTATTAATTTATATAAGCAAATTATGCGTTACTGAAATTTGATTATAAAATATTAATTTGATTTCCTTATTTTTCACTAAATTTATTAGTGTAATTTGAAATGATTTTTCTTAAAAATAAAAATTTTTATTGGATTATTTATAAAAATATTTATGTTTATGGTCAATTAATTTAGTGTAATTTTTGATATTTCGTCATTTTACACTAAAACGATTTTATATTATAAATAATTTATTATGATTCTATATTAATATAATTAAAATTTAAATATAGTAAAAATACATTTTAATATAATATTTATTATTTTCAGTTTTGTTTAATTCTGTACTTTTTTTAATAATTTGTTGTACAAATTTATATCTGGATATTACAATAATATATTTGCCGACTAACCGGTTAAAAAATAACATAATTTTCTTTATACTAATAATAATATTTTACACATTAAATCAAAAAAAGATAAAATAAGTATTTTTTTCCCCCAAAAGTGGAATACGATTTAAAATATAATATTTTTAATAATCTTGTCAAAATAAATAAAAAGCAAAAGAAAAATGAAATAAAATTTAAAGAAAAAACAACCATACAATATTAAAATATAAAGCGAGATCGTAACAGCAGCGGATTGGTCTACCTAAAAATTGGGGATTTTCACTATGGGCCGTTTCTTGTAAGGACTGCTATACTTTTTAATTTTTTTTGTTATACATTAAAGAATCAAATATGAAGGTATTATTTTGGTAGGGGAGACTTGGGTAAGTATTCAAATCTAAGCATCAATGTATTTTTAAAATATTACACATTAAGATAAATACATACATTTTACAAACATGTATAGAGGAAATTTTTAAGGCTGTTCTAAAATAAAAGTCAACCCCTCAGTTATATTTTTAAATAAGTTAAAATCGGTGTTGTACGATTGAGAATGTTTTAACTTTTTGGTAACATGGTTGAGAACGATTTTTCGAACGACGTTGTCCTTTATCTTTAAGTTAATAATAAAGATAATAAATAAAATATTGTGGTTTATGCATAAGATATTAAAGTGTCAATAATTATTAGTATTGCCTATAGTCTATAATAGGTAATAACGTATTGTGCGTAGTGTTTATTTTGGTTAAAAAATGGAAAATATGGAAAATAATGCAAGTACAAACCTTGACAATAATGAAATCAATTAAAAATAATTGCCACTGGCACAAATGGTAATAGTTTTGCTGGTATTTCAAGAATATTTTTATTTTTCCAACTTGGTCCAGGTGTAAGCTCTTTATTTATATTGGTTTTGTTCTGTAACTTGGATGATATTGTTTTGCAAATATTTTTCAATATTTTCAATTGATCTTTCTATGACTTTCGCCGAAGCGAAATCATGATCTGAAAAAACATTTGAGTTAAAGAGTTTTATTCTACAAACACTAAAACCTTTTATGGCATTTCCTATTGTAGCAGCTCGATTTTATGCTTCGCTAAATGTTTGTCCAATATGTTGATCATTTATAGTATATCCCGGGTTATTTCCCATAGATGTGTCACAAGTTTGATTGTCATACGTTTTTAGAGGGACGAAATCCATAACATCGTAATATTGCGTTCACGACAAAGACGGATGGCTTGAAAATAAACATGTGATACGTATTTATACTGAATTAATAATATAGGATTTTGAGAAGTTAATATGACACGCGTACAAAAATACTCAAGATAAAACAAGAAACCCTTAGAAGTTATCCATTCATTATCAGTATCAATGTCAGCTGAACCAGGAAGTGCTCCTTTTATTACCTGATTATCCATTCGTTTTCATGCAAATATTAGGAGAGGTAGTAGGTATACACCTGCACTTATTCCTAAAACAGTGATATTTTTCCACGTTCTGCAAATACAATTTTTGTTTACCAGTTAAAAAAATAACTTTTGGTACTTTAGTTGGCATACAGAATTATCAGATTCGCCCACATTAAATATTTGGCTAGCATTAAAATATTTTTCAAGTTTAATTTCTTTTATTTTGTCAAAAAATAAACCATCATTTATTTTATTGATTGCCATAAGTCAACCAATAGAAGTGGCTTCTAATTTTCTAACACTAAAGTTATACTTAAACATAAAATTACTCATGCAATCATCACCTGTTAATTTAGTGTGGGTATTAATCCGGTGATGAATATCGTTTTGGAGAGATAATAAAATGTATTTATTACTTATGAAAAAGGATTAGAACATAAAATAAAAGTTTGAATTGAAATTTAATTGGTTAGAAAATATTTAACGATTGTAGGAAAATCGAAAATTTCAAGTACAATTCAACTATAAATACCTCAAACTTTATTAAAATAATTTTCAATATGAAATGTCTTAAACTAAAACTTTAATATTATTTAATGAAAATTCGTTAAAATATCCGAATTTGCCAAAATTTAATTTCATAACTTATAAACCATTTTTGTAAATTTCCCATAATTTTTTTACAAAGATAATTATATAAATAAATTAATAAATTAACCAAATAATCTTGAATAAAACTGCATTGAATGTAAAATTATCACATAAATCATTTTTTATAACTCTATTGTCTTTTTTTTGAACATCTATTTCTATTGTATAATATATAAAAATAATACTGTGATTATAAAATACGGGATATTTAATTTTTTTTTTTTTTCAATAACTATATACACAATTTTGTTAAGCCATTCACAAATAGTTAACCGATTTATAAATAATTATATTATAAACGCGCGGACTTTTACGACTTTATTTAAATTATTTTGTATATGTTTATTTATTATTTTTATTAAACCTAGGTACTAAAGATGTTCTTAAGAATATCAATGGCATTTTTGCACCAAATCAATTGGTGGCTATTATGGGACCTTCGGGAGCCGGTAAATCTTCTCTCTTGGATGTTTTATCTGGATACAAGTAAGCGATTTATTGCTTAACCGAAAGAAAATCATACTTGAACACATATATGATTTGTTTGTTTCAGCTTGAAAGGTGTCCGAGGAAACGTTACGGTCAACGGTAATGAAAGGCGTTTAGACAGTTTTCGTAGGGTGTCTTGCTATATCCAACAAGACGATCGTTTGCAACCATTGTTAACAGTCAACGAGAACATGCATATTGCCGTAAACCTTAAACTCACCATGGACAAGTCTCAAAAATACAAAGATGCCGTGGTAAGATGATTATTTAAACTTTCAAAGAATGTTTTTGTGCAGCGTTTTGAGTAGTGCTTTATTTAATTCAGGTAAATGAAATTTTATCCACTTTGGGTCTTGAAAAAACTAAAAATACGAGAACCGTGAGATTATCTGGCGGTCAAAAGAAAAGACTTTCAATAGCTCTAGAACTAATTAACAATCCAATGGTAATGTTCCTAGACGAACCAACGACGTAAGTATATACATAATAAAAATGGATTATTAATGGGTTATGACAATTATTAGCTATGATTATTTTTTTGATTTGATCCTTAAGGGGTTTAGACAGCTTATCGTGTTCCCAATGTATATCACTTTTGCGATTGCTAGCTCACCAAGGAAGAACAATAATATGCACAATTCATCAACCCAGTGCATCACTGTTCCAGATGTTCGATCAAGTGTACATTCTGTCACAAGGCACGTGTTTATACCAAGGATCTACTAGCAATTTAATACCGTATTTATCAAAACTCAAATTGCCGTGTCCTATGTATCATAATCCCGCTGATTATGGTAAAAAAAATCAAATAAGGTTCAGTTATAATTTGAGATCTAAATTTAATGTATAATATTTAGTGATAGAATTGGCTTGCGGTGATCACGGCAATGATAAAATTGAAAAAATGGCAAAAGAAATAGAAAATGGAAAATCTTTAATTTGGACTGGTCTTTCAGATTTGCTTGCAATCAACCAAACAGGTATTGTCAATAATATAATCGCGATTTTGTTATAAGTTATACGTAGGTAAACCAAAAATCAATTAAGTTTTTAATATTTTCCTTTATTCATCGATCTTTATTCATCAACTTAAATATAATTTTATTAAAAAAGCCAATATGGTCATTTATTTTCTATTGTACAAAATAGTTTTTTCATTTTACTTTTATTCGTGAACTTGCTGAATTACCTAGCTTCGTCCGTGAAAATAAATGCTTATCTATATATTAGGTTCACTGGCACAATTGATACTTGGGGACCCTAAAGTCAAATATAAAATGGATTTCCCTAACCAAAATTGTAAAAGATCTTAAAAATCCCAAAATACCTGACTTTCTACAAGGTAATCAAAATCAATGCATCGTTAATAATTTCATAAAATTAAAAATAATTCTACATATAAACTAACTATTTTTAAATATTATTAATTTATAAGTTAAAATTATATTATTTCTAGAGCTTTTTGTAAAAAATCATTTACAAAAACTTTAACTTAAACTTAATTACTCTTAATAGTAACCGTCTCTACAACACCACTTTCTCATTCATCGGCTATGGCTTGACGAGCTGCCATTACGAATTTATATGAAGCGGAAGAAATTTGAATATTTAAAACACTATTCTTGGTCCCTATTTATTTATTAGTCATGATAATGATTTTATAATATTATTAAATCAAAAACTCGTAATATAATACACTCCATAAGATATTAAAAATATTAATTATATAAAACTATATAACTATATAAATATATATAATTTTTACATTTTAAGCTATGGTATACATGAATATTTATAATAAAATATAGAAAAAATCCAATTTTTTTTATTATTTGTCCATCGAGCAGCCACTTACATTATTAGATCCCCCCTCGGACAAATCAGGGGCCCCCAAGTTTCACTTTGCCAACTCACCCACTAGTTGCACTACTGGTCAGGTTAGGTTACTATAGGCAAATAAAAATATATATTATCTTCGTTTAGTAAATTTCATTGTAAATTGTACAATATTTTTTTAACGATATTAGGAGCAACAGACAAACGCCTTATTACTTTATTCTCATTCACTTATCAAATATATGTTTGTATAAACTTTGGTTCTTCTAGATTATTGGGTAATAGAATTAGACGAATGGTAAACTTGATCTTGAACATTAAATGTTGGCAAGTTTTCATGTTTAATTTCTATTGCACCAAGCGAGTCATTTAAAAAACCGAAAATAATATTTATACTTTTTTAAACTTTTCGATTATACAGTTTATTGATACCGAGGAAATAATAAAAATGTCAATAAACTAACTTCATGGCCATCTGTTTTCTTCAACTCAGCGTTTCCATTCTCTTCTTATTGTATTTTAAATGTAACACTTCGGTAAATTTAACACTCAGAAAATTTCTTGATGAATCTCTTATATAGGAGATATAAAAAAAGCGGCGAATGTCGTTTTTGGAGGAGAAGATAGTCACTTTTGGAAATTATTTTTAGTAAAGTAAACACGTTTATCATTTTCTAGATGCACATTTTGGTGTATGAAGAGGTGGAATTTTTATTGGTTTTTTCGGTTTTTGTAGCAACAACATAACAACAACTGCCCCCTTTTAGACATTATCTGAATGTATTGATTCTTCTCTTTCTTTTTTTCGCGAAAAAGGTAGCATATGTCTTTTTCCTAGGTCTAATCTATCTTTGCACAAAATTTCTTCAAAATCTGTTTAGAAATTTTAGAGTCTATTGGACACAAATCGCCAAATACGTCATATATTATATCATAGTAACAAAATTGTCACAAATGTTAGACTTATTCAGTAGATTTTCTAAAAATTGTCTTTCATACAAACCTTGTTCAAAAAATTACGAATACAAAAAAAAAAAACTGTCAAAGTTTGGTCAAGTTATTCTCAAGTGATTTTCTTACATACAAGGGGTAATTAACTTATATATTTATAGAATCTGTTATAGATGAATTATATTTAAAAAAAAATTTTATCGACACTTAAGTTTAAGAAACTTTTTTGAGATTTTTGATAGTTGTCTGAAAAACATTTTTTATAAACAGGCGAATCTCAAGAACAATCAAAAGAAATCAACAATGTTCATGAAACTTCTTTTAATAACCAGTTGAAATGTTTATTGCATCGAGGATTTTTAAAATGCAAAAGAGATCCGGTACGTGCAAGTTTTTTTCTTAAAATAAAATGTACTAATGAATTCAGTATAAACTATAATAAAGATTATATCATATCTCATATATTCAATAACATATTTCTGTATAAATATTATGTAAGTGAACAAATGACCTTATGATACAACAGCAAATTATTTTTTAGAATCAATTGAATTATTTTATAAATTATCTATCAAATCAATTTATTATATCAGTGTATTAATTTACTTGTGTATAAAATAAGTAATAATAATAATGGATATTATTACTTATTACTTAATTATTAAGTCATTGATCTTTTATTTTTTATATTTTTGGATTTTATCCACAGACCACATTAATTCCCATATATAAGCTTGTACTGTGTTCTATTTATTAGTTAATTTTAAAGTTTGTGATATTTATTCTTATCAATAAAATATAATTCATTAAAATCGATTATTAAATAATTATTTTGTTTAATGGTTTATCTAATGTCATGTTAAAAAAATGTAATATGAATAATTTTATATTTTCTACTTTATTTAATTAATCATATTTTTAAAAATGTTAATAAATTAATAAGTGACGAATAAAAAACATTGTTATTTATAGAAAATAAATGATATAAAACTTTAAGTAGAAATTTTGATTAGAAAACAACTACAAAAAATGATTCCATTCTGGTCAAATATAACTAACGATAGTAAATAATTGAATTTTATTTTATTTTTCTAGGATTTGACTTATCTACGATTGGGTGTAAATGTAGCAGTAAGTATATTATTAGGAACACTATTTTTACAAATCGGTGATGATGGCAGTAAAATTTTTGACAATTACAACTTACTATTTTCTATTCTCATGCACCACGTTGGATCAACATTGATGTTAAATATTATTAATTGTAAGTTACGGTTTGTAGATATAAGTTCAACAACAAATATTAATGTAACTATAAAATTTATTTTTGTTAATAGTTTGTATTATTTTGTTTATGGTGAATTAATTTCATATAATTTTTTTAGTTCCTGCTGAAATTTCTATACTGACGAAAGAGCATTTTAATAGATGGTATTCGTTAAAATCATACTATATTGCTACGAATATACTTGATATTCCTATAACGGTACGAAAATAATAACTTGTTTAATATCTCTTATTTTGATTTTTGAAGCAGTAATAGAATCGTTATGTTTTAGACGATTGGTTGTTTGATATTTTCCGTGATAATTTATTTAATGACAGGACAACCATTAGTTTGGGATAGATTTTACATGTTCACATTCATCAGTTGGTTAATGGTGCTGATTTCTCAAAGTTTAGGCTTCATTATCGGCGCTTGGTTTAGCGTTATTGTAAGTATTATCAATATGTATTTATTTATTCATTAAATTCATTTTCCTGATTGTTGGTCATGTCGACATTTCTGATTCCTTCGAGTTCTTTTGTTATGGTTAAGTTTACTATCTTATATGAAACCATTTATTTTATAATTGACTACTTGTATATATATATAATAATATAATCAATTTATTTAAATTATAATATAATCAATACACAATCTCGACAGACAGCTTGAATTTATACGTACACAAAAATTGAATATATATGAGAAGGAATTTCTCGTTTAGATATTATCAATAAAGTATGAAAAAAAATAAATGTAAATTAATACGTGTATTATTTTATTAAATTTTTTATCTTTTTCAAACACTTATTTTGATTTTGATTTTTCACCTATATACCTAAGTCATTTAGTTTTTTTTAATGTTTAATTGTGCATGATAATTATCCAATTTATAATTTTAAAAATGAATTTGATCTTTTTGTTAAAATTATTTTTTGATTATTATATGTTGTAGGATTTAACAATATTTTTTTTAGGAGGTAGTTTTAAATCCTACATAGATATAGTGTTATCTTTTTTAGGAGATAACAATATATTTATGTAGGATGTTACCTAAATTTTTAGAAGTTTACCATTCCCTTTCCAGGAATAGCTAAATACTTAGAGATAACTCATTTTAAAAACAAGGACATTTATTTTCGATATCTAAACTAACAATTATGTATACATACTCAGAAATATGAAATATCCGAAGTATTTTCATTATAATATATTTATTACATTACAAAGTTAATAGTATACATTAATTTATTTGCTGACGTAGAACAGACCATATTAATTGTTAATGAAAAAAAAAGTTAATATAATTACGTTTAATTGTGATAACAGTCTAATTGGTATGTTGAAAAAGCTTTTTCCTCGAATCTCTTTTGCAAATTCGACGGTTAATGGAATTGCCCTTTACAACGTATGATTTCATAACCTAATTATTTACTAATTTTAATTATAAACGTTTTAATTTTGTTATATTATTATTAATTAAAAAATTAAAAACTGTAATTCAATTTTTCTTCAAATATATTTTTAAATTACTTAGTAAAATTAAAAATGTTAAGGCACCTCATGTAGGTGTTTTTAACTTCATTAACTTTTACCGAAAATAATATTGAAACATTAAATATTAAAAATAGTCATACATTGGGTTAAATATTTTTTTTAAATATTATTAGTGTACTGTAAGATGCCAATATTAGAAATAATAGTATATTAATAAATTGTGTTTTAAATATTTCAAAACATAAAGATAATGATTGAATTTGTTATGGAATGTTTGTAGAATGGTAACTTCGTGGGCCCCATTATTGTCGTCTTGTTGATGATGTTCAGTGGATTTGGCGTGAATCTGCGAGACATCCCGTATTTATTGAAGTGGGGAACGGAGATATCTTTCTTAAGATATGGCCTGGAAGCTTTAATAGCCGCCATCTACGACAAACGTGGTATTTTGCCATGTTACGAACTGTATTGTCATTACAAATATCCGGAAAAATTTTTAGAAGAAATCGCCATGACCACTGATAAATTCAACAAAGATGTGTTTGTATTGGTCGTCACTCTACTTATCACCCGGATAGCAGCATATTTCATGCTACGACTTAGAGTTAAAGCCAGAGTGTCGTTTTAATATTAAAATTCTCACGGTTTACCTGGCAAGAATTACTTTATAATTTATGTACACATAATTATCAAAGATTAAATTACGTGCCTATAATTTTTAACTTTAGGAAACATATTTAACCTACGACGACTAAGGGACAATCATATTTATTTACTATTATTTCATTTAAATGATTGTTATATTTTTATTCCAAATTTTACGGAAATTATTAAAAAATAGTATATGTCATAAAAGTAGCATGTAAAGTTTTGACAATTTTGTAATGTAATATTTTGTTTTTCAATGGGTAAATTTATAAAATTTACTATAAAATTACTATAAAATTTATTAAAATTTTTAATTTCTTTTTCTTCAAAAAACACTTTTTGCTTTATCGTGATCTATGTGTTATCTACTTTTAGTAATATATACCATACAACTTAAAGTAAAATAAATATTTTCTAGTTTTAAACAATATCCATTCTAAGAACTTTTAAGTATAATACGTTAGTGGTTATATTCTTTGTTCAATTTTGTATATTCGTTTTACAACGAAAGCAAAATATTTTCAAAAAATAGTAAAATATTTTATGGTAAAACTTTTATATATATATGTACTACCTAGATGCATCTACATCTAAAAACTATTTTTAAAGAAATTCAATATGCTCTTACTATTTTTTAAGTATTGAAGTGGATGAAGTATTAGTAATGTATGTAAGTAAAATATATTTCAGTTGATTTTTAATCAAAATTTAATTCTTGTAAATTCTCGAAGAATTAAAAAATTTATATATTGTAATTAAATTATGAGCTAGTAAATAATTTTTTATTAAATATAAATTTTCATAATCAACACTTATCATAAAATATTCTTTGGAAATAATTCTATAAAAATAAAAATGTTAATTTAAATTTTTGGTCAACTCAGTATATTTTAATATTTCGCTGATTGAAAGAAAATATAAAAATATTAACAGAGATATATCAAAGTCGTCTAAAATATTTAATTGCACTGTTTAAATTGAGTTTAATATTTTATATTCTTGTATAGCATATGTATACACTTACCAATATTAAATAATATCTTAGGAAACTCTTATTTTAAATATAAATAAAAGAGGATTCTTTTTTTAATTTCTTGACATTTTTAGTGTTTTTTGTATGCTAGTTTTTTTGTACAACTCATAATTAAATACTTTAATTTTATTTTTGTATTGGTATAAGTTTTTTTTTTTTAATGTTAATTTTAAAAATTATTTTATAAAATATATAAGATGAAGATTGTTTTTTTTATTATGTTTTTCCAGTTAAATGTATCTCAATACGAGCTCAAAGAAACTATGGACTAAAGTAAAATTTACTGGAAAATTAAATTTATTCTACTTCACAATAAAAATAAATCTAATTGACCATTATTTATATTACACAAGTTTTTTATTTTTCAAATGTATAAGAAATATAGGTACAGTCTACATAACTCCTCATGATTAATGTATTGTGACTTGTGAAAATCAACAAATACGATTAAAAAGGCAAAGAACCGATGACATATACATTCATCACACAATGTGATGCACAAAATCGACTAAAATATTTTTCTTAACATAGAAAACATTTTTATCAGATGGGATTTGATGGAAAAATAAATCTGTTGATAACAATTTTTCCGAATACAAAATTCCGGTAAAATAAAACTATTTCTCTATAAATTAAAAAATAATATTTTCCTCTGGTCAATATTAAATAAACAGTTAAAAATAAAAATAGATCTTATTTTTTTAACTTCAAATTGTATAAAACTTGTACTTTGTACTAAAACACAATAAAAAAATAATTAACATTGAACTATTCAATAAATTTCAATACCAACTATTATAATAGCGAGGGTGTTCTGAATCCTGTTACAATTTTAATTGTCACTAAATAAAACAACAATTCATATTTTTATCGATCCGGCTATAATACGATAGTTTTGGATATTTTTTTTTATAAAACTGGAATTCGTTATCGGACTCCACAAGTTCGACAATCATTAGGATACAAATAAAACAACCTATTTGGAAAAAATTCTTTATTCCTTAAATTCTATATATTAAGGTGGACTATATAATATTAGCGTTTAAATAGTGAAATCGTGTTGCTACATCAATATTGTTAATTGATAAAATTTGACAAAAGGAAAAAATAATGAAAACAATAAAAACAACAATATAAAAAGCAATATTTACACAGTTACCTCTTAAAATACATTATCATGGATGCAACGCAATAATAATGTAAAGCAACGTTGTACATATATAACTTTTATCTTCCTAATAAACCCAGCGATAGCAATATAATATAATAATTAAAATAAAAAAAAATAATAATAATAATAATAGAAAAAAAAATCCGCAATAATAATGTTGACAAATAAGTTAACAGCTCGTTTGTCGCATTATTAAAATTGCATTTCGACGAGTCAGCCGTTGTAATCGACTATAGAACAGAAGATGAAAAGCTACACAGACTCTCGGCTTTTGTACGTTAATTAAGGTGCGGGTGATGGAGCGGCGGCAAATTCCGTTCGCGAGGGTGACACGTTTCGCGCGTCGTCCATAAAACTTTCGTCTGATCAATCTCCTTTGTGAGTTATGATTTGAGCCGACAACGCAAGTAATTGAGTCCTCCTGCTTTACATAATATATACGTATATGTGTATATTTTATCTCGCGCCGTTCGGCGAAATATATTGTATAATATACCACTGCCACCCCTCTTTGACAACGAAACTGCTGTAGATTTTGATATTTTTTATTATTATTATTATTATTATTTTTTTTACAACGCATATTATCTCTTGCTACAACAATGCGAGGGTCGTAAAATGGCATTTTATTGCAAAACACCTGCAGCCATGAGGATGTACGAGGTCAAAAAAAAAAAATTACTATCTTTGTTTTTAAATTCTAAGCGAAACGAGGAATGTACTGGTCTTATGTGATTTTTCATTATTTTTTTGCAAGATGTCACTAAATTAAATGCGATTCAAAGTTCCACGTTTTTTACTTGTTTTTAAAAATATCGAATGTCTGTGGTAACTTTTTGTTTTAAGCATTTGAGTTTAAAATTTTAACAAAATTTGACAAAAACAACGACATTTTTTAACTCTTTTGCTGTAAAAAATTCATAATATTCTTAATTTAAATACTTCGACCGTTGAGTTATACGAATATTTATGAGTTTATGATAGTTATTTCATTATCCGAGAATATTAATCCTAGATAAAACAATAATTGGAAACTTATATTAGCATTATAAACATATCTTACTAATCATTTTAACATTTATTATTATTATATTAAAATGGTTTCGATCCTTAAATGTGCAATTTTCAAAAAATTCTTTCCTATTTTATATATAATTTGTAATATGTACATTCCCCCAAAATATCAAATAAATCAATATAATATTACTGGCTTTACACTGATCAGTAAGTGAATGGTACTTCAATATAATTAGATTAATTAATACAAATTCTAAAGGTAACGTACATATGCATTATATACAAATTTTTTTTGCGTAAGAGTTAGGATAATCAATCTGGTAACAAAATTCTTTATTACTTATACTAATATAGTAATGGAATGCATCTATAAATATAGATAATGATCAACCCATCCTTCATTCAAGATCGTTTTTTTGAAATCATTTGAAAATATTACACTGATTTCAAATGTATCAGAACAATTCACCTACATTAGTTACACAACTATTCCTGTATTACACTCAACCCCTCGTCTATCTCGCCCTCTTTTTGATTTATCGGGTAAAACTCGTTGAATATCCGTTTGGTCACCGAAGGGCATTTGTTGTTTACGAATCAATTATCCTAATGAAAACGAAATGATAATATATTTCTACGTATACCTAACATCCAAGCCAAAAGGATATTTGACGGTTCTTTGGAAAACGGACTAGTCGGTCCCGGAGGCTAAGGATTTTCGGTGAGTTATCCTGGATTACATTTATATGAAAATGTAACTAAATCCTCGAGATCGTAATAGCCTTTGGGCCTACATTTCTTTCTTGTCATATACCTACATGTCACTTTTCATCGCATTTACACACGTAATCATCTTTAGCAGGTCTTCATCCTGATTCATCTGCAAGACTTTGTAAGAAGTTCATGGACGGAGTCAACATCATTAAAGTTGGCAATTAAGCTTTTTAGTAAACGTCACGGTACACGTGGCAGTGTTTGATGCTCGTTACAACAGCCCCATAAAAAATGTATCGAGATACTATTACGAGGTTAACAAGAAAATCGTTTCTTGTTTACACTGAGTTTGATTGTCTGCGTACTTTGCAGAAATACTTACTTTTTTGATAAAATCACATATCGTTCTTTGGATCTTCAAGTTTTTAACGAGTTTTAAAATTATTATTGATAATTGTTCATAATTAATATCAAACTCGAACTCAAAATACTTCATTATTAAATGGTAAATATTAGTGGACTTCTAAAAAAATGCCATGAAAGAATTTATTGTTATGACACACTACCTTCACGAAACTGAAACATTAAATCCACTCGCTCTATATGATAAATTTCAGTTTCTGTTAAAATTAAGTTTGACGTTTATTCAGTATGTTTACTTCAGTAATTAATTTGGTTTATACATGTCAACAAATTGTTCGCATTGACTGAAACCGTGCAATATTATAAATAAAACAAAATGTAATACAATTATTTTAATTGTGCTGTATTTACGTTTTTTGTAAATACATATATAATATTCGATAAATCCAATATATAAATTAAAACTTAACATTAAATTGAAAATAAGAATATAGAATTATTAAAATGAGACATTAGTCAGCAATGCGCATTAAACAAAATTACATGTACATTTTAATTAAATTATATAAGTTTTATATAATATTTTCTATATTGCAATACCTGCAGTTACCACGAAATTTACAAATAACATTTAATAGAAGTATGCAGTCAGATACTACCCGACTGCACGAAACAGTAATGGTCGCAGTGAAAATGATTATAAAAACCGTAGACAATTTTCTAGAGTTTTATATATTTTCGGACTTTCTGTCACTTAAATGTTGGTGAAGT